TGGGCAGGAACAAAGATGCAGAGATGCAAGTGTGTCACAATTTCCTCCCGTCTCTCCCACACCTGGCCCTACCTACACTGCAGCACTTGACTTAAAGGCCCCGGGCCGCGGCAGAGCTCCCTGCCACTGGCCCTGTCCTGCTTGCCGCCCCAGCGCCTGCGAAGCTTGGATGCCCCCAGGTCCGGCCGCGCCAGCCAGAAACTTTGCCCCGCGAAGTCCCCCGCCTGCCTGACCTCACCGTGAGGCGCCACGTCGGCCGCGCGCCCTCCGGGGCCCCGGAACCCCGCGAGTCATTGCCTGGCCGCCCCGTACCCCGCGCCCGCGGCGCCCGGTCGCCAGAATGCGCTACGCGGACCCCTCGGCCAATCGGGATTTGTTGGGGAACCGAACTTTGCTCTTCATCTTCATCTGCGCCTTCGCCTTGGTGACCTTGCTGCAACAGATCCTGTATGGCAGGAACTACATTAAGAGGTAAGAAAGTCCATGAGAGGGCGGGATGCACGGAGCCAGGCGGCGAGCCCCCGGGTGCCAGTGGCAGCGGCAGCTTCCGTCATAGCGCCCCGGGGTGAGTGACCGTGGGGTCCGCTCCTAGCCCCGAGCATGGCCGCTTAAGCTTGGGTCACCGCGTTTCCAAGAGCATCCTTGCTCCCAGCTCCCTGCCCAGCGCTAGCTGGAGGGCCCAGACAACTTTGTTCCACTATGAAAAATGAAGGACAGGATAGAATTCCAGGCAACCAGGCTGACGATAAATCCATTTAATACCGGAGAGACCGCATGGATCAGAGCGGTGTCCTCCAAACCCACAGTTCTATGGCCATCTGTTTGGACTCCGGGGTCGGAGGGCTCAAAATTGTATAGATTATTTATTTATTTATTTATGTATTTATGTATTTATTTATTACCTCGCGAGTCCTGAACTTTCGTAAGGACCCTTGGGAAAAAAAAGCATTTTCCCCTCCAGGAGCTTCGGGTTAGGTGGGGGTGGTAGTGGGCTGTGGCGATGCGACAGGGATAGTGATAATGAAGTCTTATAATCCCATAGCCACTGGATCTGTGAAACTCAACAACGTGATTCCTTCAGAAACAGATGGCTTTTTTTTTTCTCATCCTCAGCGCAAAAGGTCAGAGCTGCAGTAGAAGTTAACCCCTCGTTGGGCTCTCCCCCTACTCCACCCCAATCCACAGTTAAACTCCAAGAGAAAGAGCAGCAGGAGGTGTTACTCAGAAATTCAATTCGGGCACAGCCTCAGTCTCTCTGTTTGCAGAAGATACGCTGAAATGCCAGCCACTTCCTTCTGCTGGCTCTTCTGGCTTAAGGGAAACACTTGGGGTTTCTCTGCCTGGTTTGGGGGATTAGGGGAGGTTCCTGCTCTAGGATACACCCATATCAGAGCCTCTCTTGGAAAGAGCCCTCTCTCCCAGCTGCTGGGGTGTTTTTTTCTTTGCTGCTAGTGCCTCCCTACTCACACCGCCCATCCCCCAGGTTGATAGGAAAATAAATGTCTCTCTAGCTAAGTAAGCATCCCACCTTCTTCTCTAAACTTCCCCATAACAAAACAGCCCTCTTCTCATCCTTTGGGTTCTACATCAGGTATGGGTGCTCCCAATCTGGGATGCCCACGAGGATGGGAGGGTGAGGATCGCTGCTGGGTGTGGCTCAACAGTGGAAAAGCTGAGCACTTAGGCTGTTTCCCCTCCTTGTAACCCCCAGAGCTGGGGAGTAATGAGGCACCTTGTTCTGAACATTTGTTTACAGCCAGTCGCTGACTCCGAACCTTCCCAGGGAGCGTTCCCTGGTTGGTGGCAGCTCCTGAGTGCTGTCTGGCACTGGTGGCTTTAAAGGCCATCTTCGGAGCCTCCTGGCTTCTTGGATCTGATTGGGCCTGCCTCTTCTTTCGGTTACTGCTGCCCCTGAGATGATCCTATGCAAGGACAACTGGGTCCCCCACGGCTTGCTGCAGCCCTGCAGGCCGATTGCCTGCTGCCATCTTGGCCCTTGCTCTTCAGCAGGGCAGCTCTGGATTCCTGCCCTCTGCCGGCACCTCCCCAAAGTTGCTGGGGCTGCTGGGATTCCTTCTGCCCTGTCAACGGGGGGAAAGTATAACCGCCTATGGCAATGCCAACCAAACTACTACCTGCTTGCTCTGGCAAGTCCTCCCTGGTCTTGGGTGGGTGGGCTAGCTGCCAGGAGTTCAGCAGGCACACAAGGTGCTTCCCTTCCTCCCTCACAGAGACCCTGACCCCCTAAATTGCATAGATGCTATCTTGCAGGCCTCATTCTAGAGACTCAACCCAATCAACCAAGCAAAACCTGTATAGGCCTGATCCTGGAAGCGTGCCTCTAGATAAGGGTCTGTAAAGAAGGAGATGATGTGGTCTTGGTGCTCAGAGGACTCGAAGTCTATCTGGGACAACAAAATAGCCACAAATGAAATAGAAAGTGAATGTTAAACTGTCTGAGAAGAGAGGCACTGATAGGCTGGAGAAGTTAGGCAAGACTGTGCCCAGAGGAAGTTGAACTTGAGTGGGCCTTGAAGGAAGGGTAAGATTTGAGGGTGGGGGCAGGGGGCATGCACATCCAAAAAGTGGGCAGGAACAAAGATGCAGAGATGCAAGTGTGTCACAATTTCCTCCCGTCTCTCCCACACCTGGCCCTACCTACACTGCAGCACTTGACTTAATCATTGATTAGTCCTGATCTTGAATTGGGTGTGGCTGCCACATCAGTGTCACCCCTAGCACCTGCTCACCTATCTTGTTTCCTCCATATATAATGATTGTAATGAACTGGCCTGATGTGATTATCAGCAGCCTGTCTCCTGTCTACAAACACTTAACCAGTGTTCTTCAAGCAGAGGATCTCGGAGGGCCTGAATCAGAACCAACTGGAGGACCACTGAAATGCAGACTCCTGAGCCCCTGAATCTGACTGTCTGGGGGAGGGATCTACTAATCTGCCTTTGTAGCAAGCTCCCCAGACAATCTGCAAGCTGCAACAAGCTCCTCCTGCTGTTCTAGACTAGTGGTTCTCAATTCCCTATTCTCCACAGCAATGTTTGGAGACTTCTGTGGTGTTCACACTGGGGAGAGGAGAGTGCTGCTGCATGCACTGGGATGAGACCAAAGATGTTGTAGAGATCCTATAATGCATAGTTTGCCCCCCACAACAAAGAATTTTCCAGCCTCAAACCTCAGTAGTAGCTGAGGTTGAGAAACTCTGCTCCAGACCGAAAGCTCCATGAAGTGGGGATTTGCTCTTTTTTTTTGTTTTTGTTTTTGAGACGGAGTTTCTCTGTGTCACCCAGGCTGGATTGCAGTGATTTCCGCTTACTGCAAGCTCCGCCTCCCTGGTTCACGCCATTCTCCTGCCTCAGTCTTGCCAATAGCTGGGACTACAGGCACCCGCCACCACGCCCGGCTAATTTATTTGTATTTTTTTAGTAGAGACAGGGTTTCATCTTGTTAGCCATGATGGTCTGGATTTCCTGACCTCGTGATCCACCTGCCTCGGCCTCCCAAAATGCTGGGATTACAGGCGTGGGCCACTGCGCCCAGCCAATTTGCTCTGTTTTGTTCCCAGCTGCACTGTGAACACCAAATGTGTCCAGCACGTAAGAAGTTCTCAATAAATATTGGATAATGAATAAATAATTGAAGGTAGGACTATGTGTGTGTACACAGGGATTGTAACTGGAAGAGACACAATGAAGAAATGGATACAACTGATGTGAGGGAAGGAAGGGACGAAGGGGGCAGATGTAACAGTGGGTCACTAGCCTCAGCAAAGTGTTTTGAAGATTGAGAAGAACAATTTGCATTTGGTTCATTGGGCCATTGGGAGCAGTGTTTGGCCCTCGAGTAGGGTAATGGCAGGATAAAAGTCCCTAGGAAGGACATTAGCTGGGCCTTCTACAGGAAGAGTTAAAGAGGTGGAAAGGCTGGGAGGTGGAGGTACTGTCATAGCCCAGTGAAAGGGAGAAGAACTTGTTGCAGGGAGCAGGTCCACTTCAGAGGCAGGGGATTCCTGAAGGCTGCCATTGTTTGCTTCTGTGCTGAGCTGGTGCAATGCCACCTCACAAAGAGTTCAGGGATACAGCAATGGCAGGCTCTTCCAGGGAGAATTCAGTGACAGCCCACAGCAAATGGCAGCGGGGCTGTGAGTCGATGTGTGCTTACTTCTTTGGACCCTGGGTGCTCCCTGTGCTCTGCAACGGGAGCTTTTGGGAGGACCCTACTGAGAGCAGTCAGAACTCTGGGGGTCCATTTGCAGCACCTACCTTGGTCAGGAAGGGAGAAGGCGGGGCAGTGCAGGGGGCTTAGTGGGCTCAGTGTCTCTAATGGAGAAAATATGCACTATGTGAATGAGGAGAAAAAGACAAGAAACAAAGTTGTGAACATTCCCCTTGATGCTCTTGGGTTCTCCATGTCTGTTTTTGATTGATTGAACAAATACTTCATGCAGATTTACTCTTTAAGTGCTGAGGATACAATGGTGTGCAAGTCAGGCACAGTCCTGGGTCTCCAAGGAGCCCATGGCATTAGGAAGATAGAAAGGCACGCAACTGATACATGAGCCATGCCTAGAGGAATGGACGAGGGACTCTAAAAACAAGAAAGAGGGAGCCAGAGCAAATCACTGTGTTTCAAGGTACATGGAGGCATTTGAAGGGGTCTTCAAGAAAGGGGAGTGATCCACAGGCACAGGCAGAGGTGAAAGGAAGGGGAATGAAATCGAGTTTGAGCAAGGATTGACAAGTGCTGGCAAGAGTTGAGTGAATCTGCATGACTCAGGGGTTAGAGCTATATTGCTGGGGGCAGAGTGAGGCAGGCAAGGGCCCAATTCCTGAGAAGAAAGTAGGGACCCTCTGAGGAGGGCGTGTCTCGGGGAGGGAGCGGGGAGGGTGACAGCTGTGGGTCTGGATCCTCGTGCGTGCGTGGAGCTACCCAGAACTGCGCAGGGAAGAGCCAGACTCGTAATGTAGATTTGGAGTCACCAACCACTGACATCAGTGTTTTTCAAACTTATGATTGGAAAGCACAGTATGGTATATGTTATAGCCGGGGACCTTGAACACAGCTATGTACACATTCAACTGAAACATTTTGCGAAACAATACTTGGCCTTATTACGAGAAATGCACTCTAATGTTTTCTATTTTACTTCATTTAAAAAATCCATTCGCCATGTGCGGTGGCTCACGCCTGTAATCCCAGCACTTTGAGAGGACTAGGCGGGCGGATCACAAGGTCAGGAGTTTGAGGCCAGCCTGACCAACATGGTGAAACCCTGTCTCTACTAAAAATATAAAAATTAGCTGGGTGTGGTGGCATGCACCTGTAATCCCAGCTACTCAGGAGGTGAGGCACAAGAATCACTTGAAACTGGGAGGTGGAGGTTGCATTGAGCCGAGATGGCACCATTGCACTCCAGCCTGGGTGACAGAGCAAGACTCCATCTCAAAAACATAAAT